CACCATTCCATGTGTCATTGGAGGTACAGAGTTCAATAAATCACTTTGTGATCTTGGAGCAGGAATTAATTTGATGCCATACTCAGTCTACAAGAAATTGGGATTGGGAGATGTTCTTAAGCCTACTCGGATCACTCTCCAATTGGCTGATCGATCAGTAAAAATTCCAAAAGGAGTGGTGGAGAATGTATTGGTGAAGGTGGGGAAGTTTATTCTCCCCACATATTTTGTGATTCTGGAGATGGAAGATGATCGGGGAGTGCCTCTAATTCTCGGCAGACCTTTTCTAGCAACCGGTGATGCACTCATCGATGTTGGGAGAGGCAAGTTGACATTCCGAGTAGGTAAGGAGGAGGAAATTTTTAATGTCTTTCAAGTTGACCATAATCATGATGAATTTGAAAGTGGAGCTCGAGAAAGGAAAAATCCCTTTTCCTGTGATAGTGGACCATCCGAAAAACTATCACCTATCCTATCTGCTCAGATTCTGAAGTCAAAGCAAGGGCAGAAATCCTTGCCAGGTCACCTCAAGTATAGATATTTGGGTAAGGATTTCAATCTTCCTGTTATTATTCCTTCTCCACTGACATTGAAACAGGAAGAGTACTTGCTTGAGGCGCTGCAGTACCACCTACGCCTCACTAAAGGGTCTAACATGCCAGCTAAGAAGGTCATACCAAATTTTCGCACACCTGGCCCTGCAGAGGTGACTCATATGCTGGATGGAGGTTATGCGTTCTATCATTGCTCGGGAGGGTATGCTGGATACCTTTCCATACCCATTGGTTGAAAGCTCCATGAACGTCAGGCTGAGGACGTTAGACAAGCGCTTCTTGGGAGGCAACCCAAGGTAAGTTTTCTTTTCTTTTCTTTATTTTTCTTTTTAGTTGTGTCAAACCCGTGCATGTTTAGATTAGGAGTTGAACATTAGGGACAATGTTCCATCCTGAGTGTGGGGTGGTGAGTCTTAGTGTTGGTTGTCCATGTTGCATGTGGTAAAAAAAAATCCAAAAATAAAAGAAAATTCAAAAAAAAAAATTTGTTTGTTCCTTTTGTCATGTGGTCGGTAAAAAAACAAAAAATCCAAGACAAAAAAAACAAAAAAATTGCCATTAGGTTGAGCACAGCCAAACTGCATGCAGTTTGCCTGTGTAAAAAGCAGTCTGCCTGTGTAAAAAGCAGTCTGCCTGTGCAAAGCTAATGGCTAAAAAACACCTAAAATCAGAAAAATTAAAAACAAAACCTTGTACTCTTGTGGTAACATGATGTAAATGACTGTGATGCGTGTGAAATGAGTTTGTGCTTGAATGAAATCATCAAAATCACCCCACTAGTGTTGAATTGCATGGTTCTTCACAATGAGCTTAAATGTTTTGACTGACTTGATATGCTTTGAATGAGCAAACTTTTTAGCAACATTCTCTTTGGTGAGGATAGTGTAATGACTTTTGGTGAAGTAGTTAGGTGGAGAACATTGACCATTCGACATGTTTGGATATCGTGCTTACTTGCATCAATTGTGAGCTACTGATTTTGCAACGAGTCTCTCTGTTTTGATGGTTTTATGATGGGGTGAACTGTATCTTTATAACATGAGAAAACAATACCTGACAAGTAAAATATAAGAAAGTTGCCATAACAATTAAAGTGTGGGTAAAATTTCCAAAATCGTGTGAGACAATCACTCATTGCACATGGGGATTAGGAAAGATTCAATTGAGAATCGGTTCGCGACCTTACGATGTTGCTTATCTAGTACGATCCCCAGTTCAGTGAAGTGCCATTTGAGGATGCAATGACCCTCCACACGGACCGAGGATAAGGAGTTAAAAGAAGCCCTTATGCGAGTGCTAAGAAGCAGAAATTGCTCTTGCTCGGTCACCGGTAGTAAGAAACAAATCCCACTTGTACTAAATACGACTTCTCGGCAAGAAAAAGCAGAAAGAGAGAAAGCCTCTCCTTGTCATAAAAGGTAGTGATGTGCTTAAAGTTAAAATCTGGTTTGCGAAAGGCTTCCCCCATTAGTTTTTGAGACTCATGCTTAATTGATTGCTTATGATTGGTGTGAGTAAGCCAGATTGTCCTCACGAGATATGCACCTCACTGATGTGGTTAGATTCTCCTAATAACTGTTGCACCATAAGTTGTTAACCACCCACTACTGACGATCAAAATTGAGTGTTGTTATTTGAGTTTTTGGTGGATTTGAGTCAGTCAATGGTTAATGGGTTGCAAGACCTTGAGTGTGGGGTGAATGGTATGATTATTAAAGCACAACTCCTCCATTTAGAAAGAAACTACTTATTACAACAAGAGTACAGGGGTAAATTTCTAGTGTTGATGTTGTGTTTTGTGTGTCATGGAATTTTGTGTGAGCATGGTTGTGTCTCCCTGGTCTGTGTTGTGTTTCCTCCAATTATCGTTCTCTTGTCTGAGTCATTGCTTAGGGACAAGCAAGTATTGAGTGTGGGGTTGTGATAATTGTCGAAAACATATTGATTTTACGTGCTTAATGTGATTATTTCATGATATGTTTGAGACCTATAATACTTGTTTGAGGTCCAACTAAGCCTGGAATGGTTATAAAACCATTACCATCAAGTGCCAAATATTTTATATATTTCAGGTAAATGAAACGAAAAATTTGCATTGGTGGATAGAATAATTCAAGTGGACTGGATGTACATTGGACCGGAACTTACTGAGGAGTTGAACCGCGATTGGACTTTTGTGGGCCGGAAATTCTTTTGGGCCTAGACGAAATGGCTTGGACGGGGGAATTAGAGAATTGGAAGGCTTGGCAATTTTTTGGACGTGGAAACAAATATTTGGGGGAGACTTTTAATTTGGACAATCTCTGGACGGAAGGGAAGCAATCTCTGGGCGGAATATTAATTGGACACGGCAACAGGTGGAGAGAAAAAAAGAAGCAGCTGGCGGCGGGTGGACTTTAATTCTTTGGGGACAGAGGCAATTAAGCGGAAGCAAAAAAGAAACGAAGCAGCGCAGCGAAGCTTGTCCAAGCATCGAGCGGCGATTGGCGATCGAGCTGCTCAAGGTTGAGCCGAATTCAACGAGAGCGATTAGTTGGTTGGATTTTCTAAACCTAATTAGTTGTTTTTTGTTGTTTTAGAACATGATGAACAAAACCCTATCGACTTATCTCAATTTCATCATGAACTAAACCCCAATTTCTGGGGGAAACACCATAGGATGTAGCTATTTCTTGATTTGATGGATTGATTTATGATTCTTTTCTTCCAATCTCTATTGCATGAAATTACTTAATGCTTTGTGTTGACTGGCCACCAATACAATGAATCGTAGTTGATTAGGTTATTAGCGACAGTGAAACCCTATTAACTGAACCTGTTTCATGTGACATAGTAACTTATCGAAGCGACAGTGGATTAAATAAGGTGCTATGCGGTCTTAAATAGGATATCGTTCTTCAGGCTATATAGTTAATTCATTGAGCTACGACAGTAGGATTTGAATTGATTGTTTAGTACGTAGTAATTCCCGACAGGGATAGCTAGCACATTCGTGATATCCTGGCCGTAGAGATATGGATTAAATTGATTGGAACATGTGAATTAATCTGGATCGGATAGGTAGTGAATCCCGGTGTTTCTCCCATAGCTTTCTCCCATTGATTTAAACCCGACACTTTAATTTTCTTGTTTAGTTAATTTTGCTAGTAGTTAATAATCTCATTAAACCATTTTCACCTATAGTTTGCTCTATTAAATCGGTAAATCTTAAGGTTGTACCAGTCCCTGAGAGACGATACCCGGACTTTCCGGTTTTACTACAAGATAGGAATTGAAGCTATACGCTTTTGCCCTATCAGTTAATGATGTTATCTTCTGCCTTGGCGGTGGCAGTGAGGAGATGAAGGTTTTTCGAAGTCAAAAGTCGAAGACTTTGGGAGTCCATCATTAGTGTTGAAAATTTAGACCCACACTAATGGATTTTTCAAACCCTATCTTGCAATGGGGCAGGTTAAATCTGACCCGTTCTAGACCCGCCCCACGTGTAAAACGGGGCAGACATGAATATAATCAATGCCTTATCCCGATTTAAGTGCTTTCTTTCTCTAACGCCAAACTCTTTATTTCACTATTTTTTTTTTGTTTTCACTCTTGTTAGTGAGCATTGCTACCTGTCGCTGCTCATCGACGATTCATATGCACAGCCAAGCGACTGATATACCGACCTCTAAGCTGCAATATTCTTTCGGTCATGCTATCTGTTTGACTATGTTTGTTCTTATTTTTCTTCTTCTTATTTATTTTCTTTTCTTCGTAAATACCATATAAAATCATACTAGTATGATAGCTACTACTTTAAATGGAGGGGAAAAATAAAACTGAGTAACTAACACACAACTGCTACAATCACTGCTTTTTTTCCACAATTGTTACAATTACTACTTTTATTACTTCTTTTAACAAAAAAAAAAGATAATTTAATTATTTTTCAAGCTGCAATATTCTTCTGTTCATGCTATCTGTTTGACTATGTTTGTTCTTATTTTTCTTCTTATTTATTTTCTTTTCTTCGTAAATACCATATAAAATCATACTAGTATGATAGCTACTACTTTAAATGGAGGGAAAAAATAAAACTGAGTAACTAACACACAACTGCTACAATCACTGTTTTTTTCCACAACTGTTACAATTACTGTTTTTAACAAAAAAAGATAATTGAATTATTTTTCAACACACCTGGTGGGACTCAAACCCACAATCGTTTGATTAGAAGTCAAACGCCTTATCCATTAGGCCACAGGTGCTAATGTTGAAATTCTGCCATAGTGCCATAGTAGTGAAAAGTGGCATGGGAATTAAATCAACCGCCATAGTGCCCATACCCATAAACTTAGTGTTTATTTTTTTCTGAACGACTAAATATCACCTAATTTTACTATTATTGTAAAAAATTAAACTACTGAACTAATCGCAAAAAAAAAAAAAAAAAAACAAGTGCCCCCCTTAAATCATTAATCTTCATTCATCTTATTCTAACGAATCCCTATCACCTGCTCTCCAAATACCTTCGCCGCCGGGAATAGTTGTCCCTCCACCGCTAATCAAGATTGGTCCAAACAATTCTCCTCCGTCCCTCCGTAGTCGAACTCCTCCACCAGCCTCTCCATCTCTATCTTGTGGTGATCAATCATAGGGCTGGTAATCGGTCGGTATCCGGTATACCGGATACCGATTAACCAGTATCCGGTATACCGGAACCAGATAGTGTACCACCGAATACCGATACCGAATGTTAGCCGGTATATCGAATAACGAATAGTCGGTATCCGGTATTAATACTGGTATACCAAATATCGGTTAATGCATTGAGATTACGTTTTCGAGCCGGTATACTGACTTAATACCGAAGATGAAGAGAAGAAGAAGAAGAAGAAGACATGGCTCGGCGCAGGGACTGCTGCTGGGGAAGATGAAGACAGACGAGGCGTGATGGTGGAGCACGGCGACGCGGCGCGGTGGTGGAGCGCGGGGACTGCTGCTGGCGAAGAGACTACTGAGCGCGCCTTCCGACCTTCGGCGCATGGACTGCTGCTGGCGAAGAGGAAGACAGACGAGGCGTGGTGGTGGAGCGCGGCGCCGTGGCGTGCTGGATGCTGGCGCTGGATTTTGCCTCGGCGGGATGGAGAGGAACAGTCGAACAGAGGAACGTCTAGACGAGGTGGAGGGCGGCATTTGATTTAGATTTTAGGGTTTACCGTTTACAAATGCGACAGCCCCCAATTCCCTACGCTGTCATTTTTTTTTATTCGGTATTCGGTATACCGATTTACCGGTTGTATATGACTAGTCGATATTCGGTATACCATTTGGCCAAGAAGTGCAGCCGAATACCGATACCGCCGGTATTCGGTATACCGATACCGCCGGTATTCGGTATACCGAATACCGATTGTAACCGGTTTGGTACCCGATTATACTGAATACCGGTTTACCGAATACCAGCCCTAATCAATCAGTATGATCTACTGATGAGAAAAGGAGTATCCAACCTCGATCCATGGATATAGATGCTGTTTGACCCTGTTGTCTAGTTCCCTTCATCCGTATTTACCGAGTTTGCATTTTCTGAATGAGAGAAACAACAGCAATTGTTGTGCAAGCATGAGCTCTAGGGATGTTGGTGCCAACATTCATGTATTTTTGTTCCTGGTTCCCCTATCAATGCCATGTCCAAAAGTGTTAATTTTTGGATTAACGAGCAAGTTAGGAAATAATTGTTGATAGCTTAGAGGGTTGGGAGAGTTCTTGATTTGGATCAAGTTAGGAAAGAATTGTTGATAGTTTGTACCGTAAAAAGCTGATGATGTTAGACTGTTAGTTGTAAAAATAAATTTCGGACGTGTTTATTTGATGAAAAAGGTATGTGTTGTACAATGCTTATGTTGGAGTATATACAATCTCTAAAGAGCTTTCGGTGGTAGGTAGGGGTGTCAGTTCGGTTACTGGTTATTGGTTAACCGGCCGGTTAAACCGACAATTGGCCAGTTATCCACTAACCGGTAACCGAACTTCGATCGGTTATCGGAGGCTGGACGAAATGGTTTTTGGTATTAAAAGTGGTTTTTGCTATCGGTTAACCTATTTTGTGGGGGACAAGACCCCCAACCCCCACAAAATCGGGTGCGGATAGCATAACAGCACCTCTGATGTTGTTATTATAACAATAGAATTCATTAAGAGTAAATAAGTAAATTAAGAAAAATATCAAATTAAATTTAAAAAATAATCCCCAAACCCTAATCCGCTCCTTCTATCTCGTATACTATTCTTCCATTCTTCCCCATCTCCCGCTGTTCCTTCTTTCTTCCACCGCCGTCGTCGCAAATCCTCTATTCCTTCTATGTTCCGGCGCCGATCAATCCCTGGATACGAGCGCCGAGAGAGGTCCTGTTCGACGTCAGCGGTAGCCCTCGTCTTTCATGGCTGCCATAGCAACCTCGGTAAGTCCTTGCTTCTACTACCGCAAGTCGTCGAGAATCAACGGCTGTAAGCCCCTCTCCACCGCCGCCCCGGTCCCGATACGCGCATCGGCAGGTTGTATCGGTGTGAGCGGAGGCTCAGACGATTAGCCCAGAGATCTGGAAGAGCGAGGAGAAGGTGATGTTGTGGTCCCGAATCCCGATGCGCCGCCAGTGGTTGATGTCGTTGCCGAGGTGAAGCCAGTTGCCGACGATTGGGATGGAGGGAGGGCTGGGAGGGAGGTTTTTGGTGGTGGTGGTGGATTTGAGGAGGAAGATGAAGATTGTGGTGGTGATGACCAAGGAGAAGCTGGAGAGAGCGGTAGAGGAGAAGCGAGCATTGCTTCTACCGGAGAGGACATGGAGAATTATTGTTAATAAGTTGGCACACAAGCACTTTGACCATGAGGAGCTTCATAAGCAGATTTTCTGATCTCAACAATGCTGAAAGATTGATAAGCCATATCTATTGGGAAAGATGTAGCAGAGTGTTTGCAGGTTCCGAGTTGCAAATGGTGAATCTTATTAAAGTTGTTCATGTACCAGTCCCAGCATATCAAGGGTTACAAAGATTCTAGGTTTCTTAGCTTCTGGTTTTCTCTGTTGTTTATCAACTAGAGGCTCTATTAGTGGTGTTTGATAATTTTTACTGGTTTATAGGGGCTGGAGTATAAGGGTATAGTCACAGAATTGACATTTATGTAAAGCTTATCGTCATTTGAATCTCTGTACTGCTTGTTTATGAAATACAACAACACGATTCATTACCAAAAAAACATTCTCTTTTGTTTTGGAATCTGTTATCTAGATATGGTGTCTGAGCTCTACGGCTGGAGTTTGCTAATTCACCAAATATCATTGGTGTGCATGTCTCATTACTTGGTACATAGTGATGGTACTTGGGCAGAAATCAAGTTCAGCGCCATCATCTACTCCAGTAGATCAGGTTGAAAATCTTGATACCAGAAACGACACCATTTTCTTATGAGTTTCAGTATTCTCAAGTTCACTCGAAAGGACACCAAACATATCCTAATGCAAACCACAATACTTCTGAAACATACAAGAAACACTATAAAGTATACTAAAAATGTTTCTAAACCCACTAGAAACCTACTAATGCAAAACACAAATCTCATAAAACATAACATAAACCTCACAAAGCAAACCACAAATATTTCATAAGCAGAACATAAACGGATAAAACAAATCACAAAAAGCACACCAGAAATCTTCTAATGCAAACAACAAATCCCCTAAAACATACCAGAAACCACACAAAGCAAACCACAAATATTTCTAAAGTATACCAAAAACCTCATAATGCAAATCACAAACACGATAAAGCAAACCACAAAAACAAACCAGAAACGTCCTAGTCCATACCAAAAATCTATTAAAACAAACCAGAAACCCCGCAAAGCAAACCACAGAATTTTAAAAAACACACAAGAAACCTCATAATACAAACCACAAGTCTCCTAAAACATGCTAGAAACACCACAAAGCAAACCACAAAATATGTCATAAGCACAAAAGAAACCTCCTAATGTAAACCACAAATACAGCAAATCAAACCACAAAAAAGCAAACCATAAACGTCCTAATGCATACCACAAATATATTAAAACAAACTAGAAACCCCTAAATGCAAACCACAATTTTTTTAAAGCAAACCAGAAACTTCTCAATGCAAACCACAAACACGATAAAGCAAACCAGAAACTTCTTAATGCAAACCACAAACACAATAAAGCAAACCACAAAAGACATACAAAAATATGAGAAACAAAACTATAAATCTCACAATGCAGACCATAACATCTAGTGGTCAATGGCCGTTGACCAAATTCCGATGACCGTCAGTGAGTAGATTCCGGTGCCGATAGGCATATTCCGGCCCCTATGACTAGATTCCGACGCCGGTAAGCATATTCCGGCCACAATGAGCATATTCCGGCGACAATGAGCATATTCCGATGACAAAATAGCATATTCCGGCGACAAAAAGCATATTTCGGTGACCGCGACCAGATTCCAGCGACCAAAATTTTGGGCCGAAAATAAACAATATTATTTATTTATTTAAAAATATTTTTCATAATGACAATTATACACCTATTTTGATTTTACACTAGATCAACTCATCTAATAAAAAGTCATCACAACCCTAACTTCCTATTGGTTGGAGACCGGTGTTGTTATAGTAACTAGTCCCACAAAATCCATGGTCTTTGCCTCTCTCTCGGATCTTTGCGATTTCAAATTTAGACGTCTACTAGCTCAGTGCTTTGACCATCGCCCCTATTTACCCAGCTACTCCGATGAACCACTATCTCCGACCAGATCTCCTTCTCCGACTTGGAACTTACTTCATGGTATACTGGTTCGGCTACCATTTTCTATCTTCCTGGTTCCACATCTATTTGTTCTCTTCCACCAGTAAGAACTTGGTATTTGATTTCTTTGGTTCTCTCTTTGTTTGATTAGGTTTTTGGCAAGCTTTGAAACTTCAGTTTTGATGAGAACGGGGATGAATTTCGTGCTTGCTGTGTGTGCGCTAAGGAGAAGCGGGACGTGGAGCACTCGATCAAAGTCACTGCTTGTAAGAGATAATTAGGGTTCTTTTTTTGAGATGTTTGGATTATCGAATTTGTATCAATTAGAACTACATAGGTATGATTAAAATTGGGAAAAATCTCTTGGTTGGATTAGGAAGAGCTGAAAAGTATTCCCTTATTAACTTATCTGTGAGCTTGGGTTTGAGGATTTGATGAGGAGATTTTTCCTGTAGAGCCAAGAGAAAGGTTGAGCAAAATTTTTCCCTATATTGACTGTAATTCGGAATTTCCTTGCTGTACTTTATCCATTTAAGCCTCGGTGTAGCATTAAATTCAAGATGAACTGGAAGGTCACGTCCGTATGTTTGTAGCTTGGATAGATTTTTCATATAAACCAATGTCAGAAGCTTTCTCAATCTGTAAAACCTATGTTCATCATCTAGAGCTCTAGTGGTCAAAACTTGGTTGAATCAAAGTTCACCAATGAAGAGGGATTTTTACTGAGATATGAATCAATGTGAGTCGTTATTGTGGCTGCTCCATGCAGCTCTACCCAACTTTAACATGCCTTTTCAATCCCACCTATACTTTACAACTGCTACATTCCAGGTATGAATTAATTAATTATTCTTCATGTAGGGAATTTGCTGAGTGTTGAAGCTTAATTTCATTTCCGACGCCACTAGCAGTCTATGGAAGGAGATGAACTTTCTGGTGTTCATCACCTGGGCCTGGTGGTACAGAACAGGACCTGATAATGGGCATATATGCATCTATGATGACTTCCTTCTCAATGCTCAAATGAAACCAATAGTTTCTGTTTGTTTTATGTTACGTATGATCTCAGATGGGATTATGTTCAAGAATGAAGTTGATGAAACCACTTTTGAGGACATGGATTGAATGGGTGCTTTTAAGAGAGCTTTCACAACGTGGACCAAATGGGTAGATGCAATATGAATGTAGAAAAAGCAATCATCTTCTTCCAAGGACTCCTATCCTGTCATCTATAATTTTTTGTATGCTTATCGTTAGACAGCAGTGGCACAAAGTGGGGGAAGCCAGGATTAAGAGACTGCTCTCATTAGACAGATCCAGTACTGCTATCCGCTTTAAATCTCGCCGTTGATGATTGGAACCAACTTCTGTACACAACTATTCTAGATCAAGGTTTGGCATATGCATGATTCTTTTAGATCAGATGACAGTTCACAGTACAGATCTGGGTGTCATTAATTAGTATATTTATTTTGATGTCAGTACAAATCAAAGTTCACTGGTGGTCAAACTCAAAATTTGGTTGAATCAAAGTTCATCTTCCGGAGTTGCATTGCTTTGAAACCAACTTGGTTGAAGTCTACTCATAACTAGCTTTTTACCCGGCCCGTTGGCCGGAGAGATTTATTTTATAATTTATATTAATTAACTTTTTCATATGTTTAAATAATTTTGGATCTTCTAAATATTTTTTGTTCTTGATTCATAAAAGAGTTTGTAGTATGTCTATACTGAAAATTTCCAATATTTAGCACACTCACTTCTGATGTTTCGGTTATCTAATCATAAATTATGTCTCTGTCACGTCCCATTTAGAACTTATGTCAAAATTTGTCAACCAAAACACTAATATTTAGCGTACCCCAACCTGAACACCGCCCCCCCCCCCCCCCCACCCCCACACATATATATATAGTTCGAGCTAGAGTGCGGCAAGAGTACGCTATACTCTTGCGTTCACACTACCATACGACCATTGAGTTTTGCTATTTAGACTCCGGAGTTTTTTGGAGCATGATACTATACCCTAACCTCTAATAGGTGAACTCTAATCCCTAATTCTCTAACCTCTAATTTATGCAAATACTTTGTCATACATATCTTCTATCGTATCTTGAGTAAAATCAAAAGATGGTATACCTTGATGTTATATATATATATATGTGTGTGTGTGTGGGTATATATAGTAGACTCAAAATTATCCAGATATTTCGCCAGACCTATCTTATTTGGCCTCATACTCGTATTAAAAGTGCTACTTGCCTATCCCCCACCCTCGGGATAGAGATCCCGCTTTTACCCCATAACGTCAGACAACCATTGGGGTTGTCTATCGTTTCATATGTAATATATAAAGAGGCAAATTCTAAGAACCTGTTATTTATTTCTTATCCTCTCCCGCCGCCCCCTTTATGGCGAATAAAAGGGTAGGGATGACAGGATCATAGCTCGATATGGTTTCATTCTGTTAATCGTATTGGAGGTTATGTTCTTTTTTTATTTTTTTGAACTTCTTTTCATTCTTCTTTGGCACCTATTTGTGATCAGGGGTATTTAGCCCCCGAAAAAGGGTTGGGATTTTAGGTCCTTTGGAAATCCAATACACATTCATGATCCTCAAGTTTGGACGAACTCTCGACCAATGTTTTAAAGATTAGGACTTTTTAGTGAGAAATTCTTAGTAAAGATACTTCATTATTGGATCAATTTATTCATCCATATTGAAACTTGACACACACCGTAGCACTCGTGATGATTAAATTCTATAATCTCGACTCATTTCCATTTTGGATGTTAGTTTTTTTTTATGAAGACACTTAAATTTAGTATATTATACAATATGTATCAATTGTTAATTTTTGAAGTTCAACCCATGGTCATTGTTTATATATTGGATTAGAATCTCAATCTAAGACACTCGCACACACTATCGAGGATTTTGGTTTTAACATGGTCATTGAATGTGTAATTTTCAAAGATTTTATCACTTATATATTAATATTTGATAAAGAGCGCCTACAATACACACATATTTCAAGTGCATTTAAAATGTCTTATTATTTGAACAATATCGGTGGATTTCATTTGATTATTTGCATTAACTTATTATCTATACAACATATATCAATTCGTGTTTCTCGAGTTTGGACGAACTGGCAACCAATTTTAAGAGTTGAGATTACTGGATAAAGATACTTGATTGTTGGATAAATATGTTTATCCCAATTGACTATCTCACTAAAAATTGTCAACCTTTATTTGGTAAATATCTAGGTTAGTAGTTGATGAAACGCGATGTTTATCGTAGATTCTCAACAAAGATTCTCTAAACTTCCTTTATGTTATTTTTCAAGGAATCTTGTGTCTCATCCTAGGGTATGAAGTCAAAGTTCGTCAGCAATCATACTTAAGTCATTTTGAAAATTTTGATTTATAATCGTTGACGATAACTCCACGTCTGAAAGAAAATTTCTTAGAATACGACTTAGGACCTCAATAGAGCTTGCTCAATCAACATGATATATAACAAATATTATTAATATGAACTTAGCACACATTATAAAATTATTGCACATGTGATTTCTCTTCATTTGAGGAGTTTAAGGTAGAACATGATCTAAGGAATAAGAAGTCTTTTTTAAGTAAATAACTATAATTACTCAATCAAGATTATACTCTGACATTTTGCTAAATAGTTTATACTTGTTTTATTTTATAGACATATAATTTACGAATAAGAGAGTGTTCCATTGCAATAATATATAAAGTAATATAGTTTATTTTTCATAGGTAATTGAATGTCAAATGTTTATTTTCTCTCTTTTCATATAAATTTTTTTAATAAAAAAACGTTATTGTTTATGTGTATGTTTGTTTAATTTTTTCATCAAAATGTAACTTATCATTCAATTTTAGTAAAAATGAGTAAAAAATTTACTTCATAAGGTTTAATCATATTTTTTATTTAAACAAATGTGACATATGCTACTTTCTGTTTTCTTATTTATATTTTTTTTACTGGACATAAAATTTATTATTTATGTGTGTTTGGTTAAATTTATCAACATGTAACCTATTATTAAAGAAAAAAAATATTAAAGAAATAAAAATATTAAAGAAGAGAGAGATAGCTCCATAAATACATTAATAATTAATTTTTTTGTTTGTAAAAAAGGTGTCCAACTTGGCAAATTGTGCATCCTCCAAGTGCTTATGTGGCAAGAGATTTCTTTTGAATTGCCATAGTATAGATAGATAGATAGATAGGCCCATAGATGAGACTTGTTGGTCCAACATGCTATCCAGGTAATCTTAATCGACATAGCATTAGTATTTAATACCACCAATATAATTATTGGCCACTCAAGCATATAGATGACATTTTCTTCGAAAATTTGTAAGCTTTCGTGAGTTTAAGGCTGCTCATACTATGAACGAGGTTAATTACCAAGGGGAGGTTTAGTGACATCTAGATCAATACTTTTCGAAAATCTCAGCCTCAGGTATAATCTTCTTACTGCTTGGACAATAATGAATGAAACTATGTAATGTTTCTTTCTCATTTTCTCTTTCAAATCTATTGCATAGTGGTGCTTGGAGATGATGTTCGGGTGACCATACGGTGTATCAGTGAAGGCAATGAGCCTTAGTGATTAATTTATGTGATCGATTGATTGTTTTCCTTCCCCTGCATCTTTTCATGCTTCTCTTTCATTATTCGTCGTGTTCTCTGGTTATGATAATGTTCTGCTTTCCATGGTGCAGGAACCTTTGAGATCAATGGGAAATCAGGTAATTTTAGTTTGCTAAACTAGAACTATCATGCTTTAACTTTGGGTTTTGGGCTCAGCACATGGCTGAAATGGATATGTGGCTTTGTAGCTATAGGTGTAGGTGGTATGAATGGGCTGCAATCTAAGAACTGTACAAACCTGTGGCATCATCAAGCTGATGAATCGCAAAGCGATCTGCAGATATTACATTACTTGTATGGTTGGTAGTCTTTGATTATATATGATTCCATTTTTTTGCCTTGAATTCAGCTAGTAGCAGTGATGAGAATTTTTTTTTTTATGCGAATCAAAAAACTTGTATTGAAGCACCGGCAAAACATCAAGGAAAATCTTGATGTGCCTCTCAAACAATTACAACCAAACCAAAAAACCTATCAAGGCATACTATCTATATACTCTAATTCCGCCTGGAGGGCAGGATCACTGAATACTCTATGAGTTACATCAGATTTCACTTGCTTCACTAATACATCAGGAGGCCGAATCCCATTTGAGCCATACAATCGACTACACCTCTCACGCCACACATAACTGATCACTGAGCTCCACATTAGACGACATAAACCATGCCTTGAAGTCTTTTTCCCCCACTGCCTACAACACCAGGTCACCACTGTAGTCCAGTCTCCCTCCCCTGGGGGAGCCAGCTGCTTCAAACATCCTCTGAGAACCGATACAGTATAGGCACATGAAACCAGAAGATGATTATAAGTTTCAACCCCACCTGGACACAAAAGACAAAGTCCAGATACCTGCTTGCCCCAAGCCAGAAGCTTATCCTGCAGCACCAATCTATCTTGTAGAGCCATCCATAGGATAAAACCATGTCTAGGAATAACTTCCTTGAGTTGCATGACGACATAAAGGTAACAATTAAGGTTTTTATTCTTTTTGTTAGAATTATTATCACCTTTAAGGCCAGTAAGCCTGCTATTGACCAAAATTGCCTGGGTCGATATTTAAACATACTTGCCCTATATTGCACCCATCTAAGGTTTATACTTGGACCTTAGGTTGGATTTTATTGTGATAGTCAGAGCGAGTCAAGTTTTTGGCGCCTTTGCAGGGGACTTCGGTCCATTATGGTGAAAAGTTTGTTTGGTGTTAATCTAGCTTTTAATTTTTGTTGTTGTTAAGTTGTGAAGTGTTTGCTTGTGCCAGACGTGTTGTGTTCTTTAAGTGTGTGTAGGGAGGTGCATGACCCGGAGCAATCCGGCGCCTTTAACACCACTAGACGAGGACATAGACCAGACTTCTAGCTCGAGAGAGGGAGCAAGCGGAGGCAAGAAGGAGAAGAGAAGAAAGGGGACAACAAGTTGGTCCAGAAATTGAAGGAATGGAAGGAGAAGTTGAAGTTGAGATGACGAGAAATCAACACAGAGGGGCTAATTCGCTTCCAAACCCAAATGGGGAAGCGGGAGCCGAGGAAGAGTCAAGGACTATGGGCTATTACATGGCTCCTTAGGTGGAGGATATCCAATCTCCCATCTTACATCCACCCGTGGCCGCCAACAACTTTGAGATCAAGCCCTCTCTCGTGACAATGATTCAAGAAAATGCCTACTTCCACGGGCTAGCCCATGAATCACCGCGAGAGCATGTCCAAAGGTTTCTTGAGCTAGCGGGAAGCTTAAAGATAAATGGCATCCTTGAGGAGGCGTTGCTATTGAAGCTCTTCTCCTATTCTTTGGCGGGGAAGGCTCTCTGATGGCTCAACAACCGTTCGGCTGTATCCATCACCTCTTGGGATGA